CTTGAAGCCGCCTTATATGCGCGGAACAGGGCCGAAACTCCTTCCGATCCGCTTGACAGGTTGACAGCGAGTGCAAGCAATCGATTCCTTCATCCTCCTCCTCCTCTTTCTCTTACTGTTTTCTGCTCTGCTCATCTGCCGTGCCGTGCCTTGCCCTGCTCATCTCTGCTCTGCTCATCTCTGCTCTACCTTCCTCTTTGTTTGGGCTTCTTCTTCTCACCCGCAGCCTCCAGTCTGCGTCCTCAGCTGTCAGAGGCTCCCCAACAACGAGGCTTCCAGTGACATCCTCGATCCCTACGTCCAGGTCCCGTACTCCCTTGTTCCCTTCCCCTCCTGGCTTCCTGCCCATTCTTGCCCCCTCCTGCCTGCCACTTGTTGCTTCCTCCTCCCTGCTTCCTTCTTCGCCCACCTCATCTCCCTCGCCCTTGTCATCGTCATCTTCCTCGTCCTCGTCTTTGATCTTCCTTCTCCTTCTGCACCTTCATTCGTGCAGCTTGTGCTTAACCACAGCTCAGGTTGAGTTGTCTGGAGCACCAGGAGATTCACAGGTCATGCTTTCTCCATCCCAATCCGCTCCTGTCCTCCCTCCCTCCTTCCCACTTACATTCTGCCTTCTCCTGCTCCTGCTCCTGCTCCTGCTCCTGCTGCTGCTCCCGCTCCTGCTCCTCCTTTTCCTTCCCGCTGCCTTCTCCGCCTCTTCCATCCTATGTCCACATCCTCACTTTGGAGCCACCTGACACACAAGCTCCAGGTCAAGAGGACGGTCACCATACAGGACAACGGCTTCAACCCCGTGTTCGGAGGAGGAAGAGGAGAAGCGTTTGAGTTCGAGATCCAGGTAGACGATCCTCCCCCTCGGTCTGCGTGATCGCTGAACTCCAACATCAAGGAACGGGAGGTCGCCATGCTCAAGATCCTGGTCATGGATGAAGACATTTCTACTTTCACTGTGGTTGGGCAGGTACTCCTCCAACTCCCCTCCTCCCTCCCTCCCTCCCTCCTCCCTCCCTCCCTCCCTCCCTCCCTCCCTCCCTCCCTCCCTCCCTCCCTCCTCTCCCCTTTCTCTCTGGATGCCTGCTCACAACAGCTGGCAGTGCTGCATCCCGGTCACTTGCATCAGACCTGGCTATCGGCACGTCACGCTCTACGATACTCACAATGGTTCCTGCTGCTCCCCTCCTGCTGTCGTCACCGCACCCCTGCTGCAGCTCCTGCTCCTTCTACACCACCACCTCCTACTACTTCTACTCGTCCTCGTCCTCGTCCTCGTCTTCGTCCTCGCCCTTCTTCTAATTTTCGTCCTCGTCCTCGTCCTCCTTCGTTTCTACTCCTCCATTTCTACTCCTCCGAAGTTGCCCTCTTCCACTTCTTTCTCCTCCAAGTGTTGACCTAGCCCCCCACAGCTATCCTCTTCCCACTCTTTTCTTTTCTCCTACCTCTCTTCTTCCCCTCCCAGCCCCCCGTTTCTCGTGCTGCCTGTCTTTCACATCCACTTGAAGCATCTCACTATCGGTAATGACAGGAACCCTTCATTACTCGGGAGTGCTCTGTAAATTCAGCATCGAAAATATCTGAAATTGGATAAAAAAATCTCTTTCTCTTTTCCTGCTCCTCCTCCTGCTCCTCCTCCTGCTCCTCCTCCTGCTCCTCCTCTTCCTCCCTTCTCGTTACCGCTCCTCTCCCCTTGTCTTTGTTTGATGGAAAGTCTCCGATAGTGCATCTCGTATCTGTGTGCTCCTTGATCGCTTTCATGATGACGATTCCCTTGGAAACTTTCCCTTCACTCCGTTCCGCTCTCCTCTCCTCTCCTCCTCCTCTCCTCCTCCTCTCCTGTCCTCTCCTCTCCTCTCCTCCTCCTCGTCCATCCACGCATTCCTCCTGTGCACTATTCGCATCAAAAATGGAGGCCAGGAGGGGTCGCAGCAGGACCGTCTAGGGTGGGTACCAACCCCTACCCTCTATATTCCATATTCTACAACGGGAGTAAAGACAATCCTCAGATACAAGCACCCACCCCATCTTCTCCACATTCCCATGCGGGCGGGAGGACGAAAGGAGGGGAAGGGGACGGAGGGGGAGGGGAGGGGGAGGGCGAATGAGCGGAGCGGAAGGAAGTTCGAGGAGAGAGTTGATGATGAGAACAAGGTGGGAGGGGGAGGTACGAGGAATGGCAGAGCAGGCGCGTTTCATGAACCAACATCACTGACCACAGACTGTAGGTGGACGGAAGGAGACGAGGATGCAGTGGGGAAGCTAGCACGATGATGCGGGGCTCATTCGTACTCCCCCTCCTCATCTTCTACCTGGTCAAGGTGCCAACCAGTGGGAGTTTCATCTCCTCTAGCACCGGCTTCCCTCTCCCGCCATGCAAGCCCCCGCTGCCTGCGAACCCACGAGAGTCTTGGTTCGCTCCATCCCTGCATGCAGAGGGTATCGAAGGCTCGTTCCTCTTGGTATGCTGGCTGTTCACGCGAGGAACGAGGAGTCCTCGAGGAGGACGAGGAGCTACAACCACATTCTTCAGCAGTGCGCGCGAGAGCGGGACCACAAGAAAGCCACCGAGGTGCTGGCGGCCATGGCTGCTGCCGGCATCGTGTGGGATGTGTACACGTACAACGCCGTGCTGAACTGCTTCTGCCACCCGTCAACTCACAAGTTCCAAGTGTACCCCATGGAGCTGATGGGGGAGATGAGCGCCAAGGCTGTTCGACCGAATGTCATCACCGTCAACACGGCACTCAAGGTGGAACGACGAGCTCTTACTGCTCTTGCTGTTCTCATCCACTCTCTCTGTGCAGTACTTCGTGCTCAGGAAGGATCTGGACGGGGCGATGAAGCTGGTAGAGGACATGCAGGTGACGAGGACTGGAGGAGGAGGAGGAGGAGGAGGAGGAGGACGAGGACGAGGAGGAGGAGGACGAGGAGGAGGAGGAGGAGGAGGACGAGGACGAGGACGAGGACGAGGACGAGGTCGAGGACGAGGACGAGGTCGAGGACGAGGACGAGGACGAGGACGAGGACGAGGACGAGGAGGAGGAGGAGGACGAGGAGGTGGAGGAGGAGGTGGAGGAGGAGGAGAACGAGGAGGAGGAGGAGGACGAGGAGGAGGTGGAGGAGGAGGACGAGGACGAGGACGAGGAG